CCCCAAAACCCCAAAACCCCAAAACCCCAAAGTTCATAAATATATTGAATTATAAAACAATTGCAATGTCAAGTAAAGAGACCAAGCTCACATTTGAGAATGATTCCCCTACCAAATCAAAGGCTAGCAAGAAAGGATCCACTCACAGTAAAATTAAGATTGAGAACCAGGAATTCAAACGTAGGTTGTTTAGTGTGTCCTGTAGCTGACAGCTCTTTATAGGGATGGCTTACAAAACCTTTAGTCCAGAAGTAGTAATAAGGAAATCTTCGAAGAGAGGGCATAAATTATGGTCGCCAAACCTATCAAGGGTATGGTTAGGTGTATTATTATAGTCGAATAAGTTCTCCTCGGTGCTGAAGAGCAGAGAGAAATCTATCCCGAATCTGGACATAATAGATTCAATTTATGGTAAATTTGCTCTCACGATTCTTAGAAAGCAGACAATCAAGAAGAATGCCTAGTATTCCAGATAAGTTATTTGTGAATCAGGCTTTGCAGACGGTAGTCTCTCGGAACAAGATCAACTCTTCTGCTTATAGCAAGACTGTTAAGAAGAAATTAGAGAAGAAGTATCCTTCCACTTGCTCAATTTTAGTCGAAGTAAGAAAGCAATAGAAATATCACACTGCTTATACCCTACTAATGTGGAGATGAAAAACATCGAAGAGCGAGAAGATAGCGAAAGCTGAAGTCCAGGCAAACCCAATGTAAATATTCTCTCGAAAGATTCGACTTAGCTTATGCCAACTCTTAATCTTTAGAAATACAGAAGTAGTCCAACCGGAGTAAAATCCTGGAAAAAGTATGAATTTATACATTAATATTGTAGAGATCTACTTAATCTTAAATAAAGATCAATTTTACAAGACAAAGCAATCTGTCATCCATAATGGCGTGGAGAGTTTCATGTTGAGCACCTTCCACAACAACTCTAAGAGTAAGTTTCTAATATAACTCTGGAATCATTTGGTTATAGACCACAGGTCTAGGTTTCCATTTCAAAAATTCAGGGACGAGAAGGAAGGTAAAGCTGAATTTACTGCAAGGAACCATTCAAAACTAAAGTATCAAACTTCAGCCCCTTTCCTCGGTCTTGCAGAGTGTCATTCCTCATCTCCGTACAAGAAACATTTTATGTATGGCTCGATGAAAGATATCAAAGAAGGCAGAACTTTAAATTTGAAAAATACTAGCCAAATCATCACTCAATTTTCCAATGTCATTAGCGATTCTAGTAGTGAGGAGAGGAAAATTGAACCGAATAACAAACATCAAGGTAATTTCCACTCAAGATAGTTTGTCATAATTTAGAGCTAATAAATCTTGCAGAGAAGAGACTCCAAAAGTATTTACCTCTCTAAACTGTAGACAGCCCCTGTCTTTGCCAGCATTAGCTAAGGCCAAAATGAAGGAAGCAAAGTACCAAAGAGAATTCACGCAGCAAAGGCATAAGGAGAAAATAATCAAGACTTCTAAAATACTTGAAGTAGGTTTATTCGATTCATTAGATTAATTTTATTATAGTCGATTAGCTCTGTGCATGAGAGAATAAAAAGTAACCAAAAGAAGATCAAGAATAAGCTCCTGAGGCCACCTCAGCCTAAGTTTATCTATTATGATGAGAAGAAAAATCGTGATAAATTGTTCTAGCCCACTGGGGCTAGATGGATAGCTTGACTCTGAGCTACCAGAAGTGATTCGGTCAAGAAATAATTGTGCCAAAATTCAATTATAAAAATTACTAATGGGGTTTTGGGGTTTTGGGGTTTTGGGGG